AGCTCTATGGTTCAGAAATCAAAGTTTCAACTGGATCGAATCATATTTAAGTCAACGCACCCAAGTGGTGAGAACTGACACGCTGTCAGATGCTGGTTGTATCAAACACGGTGTACTTCAAGGTTCGGTACTAGGACCAGTACTGTTTCTGTTGTATCTTAATGATCTAGCTTATATCAAATCAAATGGAGTGTTCACTATTTTTTCAGATGATACAACCATACTGTGGAATGATACTAATGAAATTGATCTGCATAACAAGATATCTCAAGATATGTTAGTTTGAGAGAATGGTGCAACACCAATCTGCTAACATTCAACATAGACAAAACCCATATTATTTCATTCAATTGTTATTTGGCAGGCATTCCCTTGGGCAATGATATTATTTCACATTCAGATTCCAACAAATTTCTTGGGATAAATTTGGACAGTCACCTCAATTTAAATAACCACATAAAAATACTGAGCAAAAAACTTTCTTCGGGATGTTATGCTTTACGAACGGTGTCGGAAGGATTGGGTATTGCAACAGCAAAAATTGTGTACCACGCTGTAGTTGAGTCACACTAAGGTATGGCATAGCCTTCTGGGGCACCTGCAATCAACAGCACTTCAATACAGTTTTTATTCTTCAAAAGCGCGCTGTTCGATATCTGTGCAAAGTTGAGCCCAGAGTGTCTTGTAAACCCCTGTTCAAGGAGCAAAGATTACTTACTCTCCCCTCATTATTTATTCTAGAAACTGTGTGCCTAGTACATAAGAACAGATCATCTTTTATTTCATTCATGATTATATTATTCCTGTTGAATGTTGAGCCATAGACATATTTTTATTTTTGTATTCGATGATGTGTCAAGATACTCATCTTCCGACAATAAAGTATATTTTGATTTGATTTGATTTGACCTCTGTTCAAATTTCCATGCGGTAGGCACAATCACAAGGAGTTCAATCATTTAAATTGTTTTAATGTGGCGTACTTGATTTTTTTCTCGTATTTTGTTCAATTTTTAAGATGAAATTTCTCGTTAATTAGAAGAATTAGAAAAAAAATGATATCATGGGAATATTCCTTAGGCTGTATATCATATTAATAAGGTGAATATGATGTGCACTTATTTCAAAAACACCTTGTATATCGTTATATCGAACTAGATAGCTATAGCAATGAATTTATCCTCGGAAGTTTCGAAGAATTTCAATGATTTTTATGAAAAAACATCGATATATGTGACTACAAAAACACATATATCTCTAAAACGGTAGAATTCTTCGTATTTTGATAGGAGTACCTCTTCAATGTAATTTCCTTCATCTTATCGAATACTTCTATTTTTTCACCAAAAATAATACAGGCAAAAAAAGTTGTCTTCAAAAAATCATGACCCACCCTTTATAACTGTAGCAGAAATGAAGAAGTCAATCAGAATAACATAAATTCATGCAGGAAATTTCAATTTGTTGGCTACTACCGTTTAGAAATTATGCAGAAAAATTATTTTAATTTATTCAACTCTGGAATGATATATCTCCCTCAGTACACATTTTGGGCCATTAGTTTATTCATCAAACTATGCTTGTTTTCTAATGTTCTATCATCTCCAGAAAGCTCAGTACACATTTTTGACTCTCTCTGTACATCTTAATACTGGCCTGAAAGCTCTAGGACACCCGGTACATTTGATGAAGATTTCATTTTATAACAAAGTGAAATTTCCCGAACCCTACTTGCAGGAAACCTTCCTGCCACACGTGCGATCCTCCAGCGCCTCTGAAAAGCTGTCTCAGTACTACCCGTTCTGAGACAGTCAAGTGTCAGTCGTACCACCGCGGTAAAGAGCCTCTGGGAGCGCGCCCTTCGAAGGGTGGTACCAGCGTAGGGTGCGACCCTTGCCCTGCCGAGGTACAGAAAGCACCTCAAGGTCGTACCGATACTGAGGATAGTCGACAGTCGGGGTCGAAACTGGGGGAGGAGGCGGATGAGAAGATATGCATGCCTACTTTGCTGACGACTTGCGAGATATTGAAGATCAGGCAGCAGTTTCAGGAGGCGACCAAGAAACTCGAGAAGGCAATGTCTTGCATGCCTTGCAATTCTAATGGGAAACTTTGAAGTTTTTTATTTTTTCATCGAATGCAGCTAAGATCAAAAAGTGGAACATCCTAAAATAAAAACCATGGAACTTTTGTATTATTTCGAAACTTCAAATTGTCATCAATCTCATGGATTATTCGAAGAATGCGAGTCTAAAGGTATGTCTCCTCCAAAGCAACACAGACCAACATGCATAGTTTAACTTTGTTGGAGATACAAAATGTCTAGAAGAACTACCGCCAACAAAGTGTCTCCACAAAGACAACAATGTTGAATGATGTTGATTTTGATTTTTTTAAACATGCAACCCCCATAAACATCGTGTATACACTAGTAAAACACAATACAGTCAGCCATGTTATACGACGAAGCTGAGGTGATTTTTGCGGCCGCGGCTTGTTTTGTTATTTTTGATAATAATAATAAAAAAAAATTAAAAACCACGCGTAAGTGCTGGGTTCGCACAATTTAAAAAAAAATAAAAATAAAAGGAGGTAATGAATTGTTGAAAAATTTGCTGGAAGACGATCTTTGGGGTGAACTTCAAATAGATGGCAGTTTTAAGAATTTTCTCCGTATGACCTTATTTAAAATAGTAAAATAAAACATTTCTATTGCTGCAAGGAATATGATCTTTCAGAATTAGAAGCGAAGACATGTTAGATTATGCTAGCGATACATAAAAACATCTTTCAATTAGAGTTGAAATGTCTTCAATTTTATATACATTCAATATGATTATAGAATAGAAAATAGGATACCTAAATAAAATTGTGTAAGAAAGATATTGAGTGAAATATTCACTGATAAAAAGTAAGCTCACATTTAGTCCAGGAGGGGTATAGCATACTAATTACTATTGTGCTGAGTACTGAGTATGCTACTGATTCAGTGATTCTTGAAATGAATACAAAAACAAAAAATTAGACAACGACACGCGGTGTTCCCAAGCGGTCACCCATCCAAGTACTGACCGCGCCCGACGTTGCTTGACTTCCAGGATCAGACGGAGCTGGGTACTTAAATCAACGTGGTATGGTCGTTGCCTGAATAACTGACATTATCAAAAATACTCGAAGGACCATGTAACACCTACGTAAAGTGGGTTGCTAGACCTAACTGCGTTTCCAAACTTTCTTGATTGACCATTGGGGCGCTTTTCCTCCCTCTCCGGCGTATTTGTTCCATAATATTGCTCACTGTATGTAACAACATCATTATAAATTTGTGGAGATGACTTCGAGCATTCCTTCCTTCCTGTGAAATATTCCACTCCACTTTGAGCAATATGGACTTCTACCAAAGATTAATAATATTTTTTATCTCTTGGACCGCACGAAAGGAAATTCCTATAATGTTCGTTGAACATCGTGCGTACCTAGGGAGGATAGGGAGAGGCCTTTTAAGCCAGTTTGACACTATTTTTGATATTAAGCTAAGCATATATTCCTACTTCAGAACTATATTTTTTGACGTTTGTAGAAGAAATATTGATCAGTTCTCGATCACGAAAGTAGCATTTTCACTTCGGATTCGAAAACAGGACGTCCATTTCACTAACTTCCCATATTCTTACGCATTATCATCGGTAACGATTTTCCTCATACTATTAACGAATTCATTCATTCACAGTTCGTTTCAATGACACCCGTCATGATTTCTGATTCATTGGATCACTACTGATAATCTATTCGATCCTACTAGTTCAGATTGTTATTTCATTATCCCTATTGAACTGACTTTATGATTATCAGTTTCAGAATCCTCAAGGGATTTTTTTATTTAATAATTTTTTTTTTCCTGAAATGTCGGTGGTTCTGTGGCTGCTGGCGAGCAGTGTATTATTGAAGATGCTTCGACTTGGTTATTGGTCTCTTTCTTGTTCCTGAAAATTTCCGACTCCTACATCAATAATTACGTAAGATACTTCCATGAAAAGTGAGACAGCATTTATTATTTCAGAATAGAGAATGTTTTAGAAGAAATATGAGTGAATAGTGAATTAGACGTTCTGATTTCTGTTCTCGAATCCGAAGTGATTTCCAACCTATCTTGTCTGCTGATATAATTTTTCGGACATGGTAGGTGGTTCCATGGCTGCCAACAAGCAGTGTATATCACTGATGATAATTTCAATCGGTCATTGACTGTATCTTTGGAATATTTCTTGCTCCTGGAAATTCAACAATCCTAACTCGATAATTACGTGTAATACGGGGGTATTTCCAATAAGAGAAAATGAAATTTTCAGAACTGAATTTTTGTCAGTGAAAATATGGATTGTTAGTGAATTGGGCGTCTTGATTCCGAATCCGAAGTGATTTTCAACCTATTTAGACTCCTAATATCATTTTCCGGAAATTGGGGTAGTTATCCATGGTTGTTGGCGCGCAGTGTCTATCACTGAAGATGGCCACATTTGGGCATAGAGAGTGAATTGGGCGTCCTGATTCCGAATCCGAAGTGATTTTCAACCTATTTAGACTCCTAATATCATTTTCCGGAAATTAGGGTAGATATCCATGGGTGTTGGCGAGCAGTGTATATCACTGAAGACGGCCACATTTGGGCATAGAGTGCATTTTTGGTGTATCTCTCTCTCCATAAAATTCCATTATCCTTACCCAACGTATACGTAAGATACAGAGGTGTTTATCCATTAGAAATGCGAAAAACTGTATAATAACGTAAAAGGTATAGTTCATGGTATAGTTTATTCAAAGTCAGTAGGAAAAATACATCACCGCAAGCCGTCGGACTCTTTGAAAGTTCAAAGAGTGCGGCAGTGCGGCCCGACATTCGTTTGATGATCTGTTCAACTGACTTTGCATAAACTTTGAAAAAAATGTCGCTCCGGAGCATTCGATCGCCCTGTACAAGGTGTTCATGATACATCACTTACCAACGTGTTGTGGAACTCCATATTTTCCGCCTGTACGAACGCGGTTTTCAACTGAGATTCACTTTCACTGCGGCCGGACGAGTGAACATCGCGCCCGAGAATGCAATGAATTTATAGGAAATGCGGGTGAACAGCGATTAGACGAGCGATTTTTCCCTTTTTTCCTTCTATATTTTTGCCCCAGTTGTCGCGAGAATTTCACCGACAGTCGACTGGAGGTTATTGCCAGTTGATTTCTTCTCGTAGGTGTGAAAAAATGCGTTGCGACTATTTTTTTCATCATTTGAGTTGATGATTTGTAGAAATCATTCGGATATCTTAGGGCCTGATAGTTATTTGTTTTACTAGGCAGAAAAGTACAAGATTTGATGCCGCATATCTGGCGTTTCATAGCCTAGGCATAGCCGAGGCTAGGAAACCAGCCAAGGCATTACATCTTCTTTTCTGCCATGTGAAACTTGGAATTTTTTCTCCAAATTATTTTCTATTTCACGCAAAGTCCAAATAATCCATCATTTTTTGTTCACCCAAAGTCATTGTCAATTTTGATTACCGCAATTGATTCAAATTACTTGGAACGTTGCATAGCAACAAACTTTTTCTGCCTAGGCAGTGAAAGTACACCTTTTCTGCCTGTTAAGTGTCATTGAAAAGCCACTTTTAATGTCATTTGGAGAAAATAGTTATTTGTTTTACTAGGCAGTAAAGTAGTAGATTGACTATCGCGGTTGACAGTAGCGTAGCAAGGTTAGGAATTTAGCCAAGACAGTCAATCCACTTTTACTGCCGTGTGAAACATATAATTTTTTCTCCAAATGTTATATGAAACCCATTTTGTGCAGATTTTTTGTTGAAAACTCCATAATAATTTGTTCACCCAATGTCAGTGTCAATTTTGATTACCAATTTTATTAGAATTTATTTTGGCATAGCAACAGACTTTTCCTGCCTATAGGCAGTAAAAGTACACCTTTAATGCCTGTTAAGTGTCGGAAAAAGCCACTTTCCCTGCCGCTTGGACAACAAGTATCTTATCCTTTCCTATTTTCGATGATTTTGATGTGGCGATAGAAACGTTCAGCGTTAACTTTTTATCAACTCAGTTGGTTCACTTTACTTACTGATGCACTATAATTTTCAAAAAAGTCAATGCCTCTAGCTAAAATTCACACATTTTGGCCCAACACTGGATTGTGAAGCAAAACTTCAGAAACTGTAGAGACGTACTGTAGCTTACGTAAATCACCCTGTATAGCTAAACTGATGGATATATATACAGTATTTTTCTTTAATGCCCCCCCCCCTGTTATTTCTTGAACGAGTCGACTGAAAAAATTGAAACTTGAGTTGATGAAATTGAGGCAAGAATACTATATTTTGGAGTGAAAGAAAGACAATTGAAACTTTCAAGATGGCGACTGGGTGCCATCTGGGGAAACAAATTAAATGAAAAGGGGGGTCTTGTGAAAGCTCCTGACGGATACTTCACAGCCCTAGAATATGAAGTCAATATCTTCACCTACTACAAAAGGGCGGAACATTTCATAATTGCCTGAATACATCGACGTTTATTACTTCATAATCTGAGGAAGATGCCCGAAATGGTTGTCTTGGACTTCTTGACATAAGAACAATCTATCAGATATTTTTCGCCGAACACTTTCGAACACAGTTACGTCGATATTTCTACAAATATTCATACTCTGTCGTATAGGTATCTAATATTGAAGCAGGTGCAGTTTCGTAGACATTTTTGCTTCAAATAGCCCCATAAACCAATTCAACAACTGGAAACAGTATTATTCAAATGTTTCTAACTTGTCTGGAGTAATGTGGTGGTGCTCCATCTTTTTAGAATACAGTGAAAATAAGTGCTGATATTTCAATAGTTAGTACTGATGAGGTGGCTATGTTAGTACCAGTAATAAGGTTATAGTACATTCGCCATATTGTTTGCATGCACAAAAATTGGTGTTGTAAGGTACACTACGCTTATCAATAACCTGCGAATTCTGACAGGACTGCTTACGGGACACTGTTGTCTACGACACCACCTGGGATTCTATAAATTTATATTTCTCACAAAATGATCTTCGGTTTCCATCATGAAGTAGGTGATAACTAAGAGTTGGTCTATTCAAAATGTCCATTGCTTCTACTCAGTTTCTTTCGAGATTTCTTCACTGCGTCGACAATTTTCACAAATAGCAACTCCCACAATCTCAGAAAAAAAAAACAATGTTGCGAACGGTGGTCATCCTAAAATACAGGTTTTTCCCTATCTCATAGTAACAGAAGATACCCCAAATACCATTGAATTCATTGACACTTCGATATTCATTTTGTATCTAAGAGTGTTCTGTTGGAAATTTCCATTACAACTACTCGGCTTCGATGTTTCTTCTCTGCAGACGAAGCATTTTTTCAAATATACTAGAATATCCACTGTTCGCCTGAACTGATTCTTGCTACCTTTGAAAGGCCCAGCTGCTTGGCATTCACTGTTACTCCAGGTGGTCTGAAGTGCTGCTCTGTATCGTCTCTGAAGAACTTGGCAGTCGATCTTAATGGTTTGATTCGGATAGATCCGGCTCGAAGGACCAATATGTTCGATGCTTGATAGATAGTGGACTGTATTTCTATGGTTATATGATAATGAAATGAAAATTGATATTAGAATTGCAATTCGTATTGCAATCCTTCTTTATTCATTGATTTTATTGATAAATCGTATGTTTCAACAACCCGTCATCATGTTGACAATAAATGACAATCTCTTATACTATATAGGGTTAATACAAGTACCAGACTATTGTATAGGGTCATACCTTGATTTTTTTGCTGTCTCATAGTAATCCAAAATACCACTGAATTTGGTTCATCCTGTACTGGATAATTATGAAAAATAAAGCTCCATTTGATTTTTCAAGATTATCTTTATTTCTTCTTTGGTAACAAGTTGATGTTTGTTGTTTTGCTCAATAACACTCACAAAGTGAATATCTAAAGAGTGATCTAAGACCTAAAACTAAATAGTTCAATATCTTCCTGGATCTATTGTGTTGCTTCTCCTCGATTTTCCTACTGTGCCATTCAACTATTATCAATACTGGAAAATGGCTAGACACAGGCAAGATACAAAAATCAACCTTTGAAATTATTCAGCCGCATTTCGTCCACCTTGCCCCAGTCCATCTTCGACCTGGCGTACGGCCCATGGACGTCCTTGACCAGCCAGAAGGCGTCGATGACAGCGCCACTCTTGTCATCCGAAACCTGCTCGAGGTGCAAGTGGGTGGCGTTGTAGGCTTTCAGTCTGGTGTAGCCGTAGTCGCTACTTCTGAACGCGGACCAGGCTGGGGTGGGTTTCACAAAATTGTCTCTGCCCTCCTTAAATTACAACGATATAAGTTTTTTATGTTTGCCGAGAAAAGAACATTTTTTTGTACTTTAAGTAGACTTTTTTTGACCACTTCAAGTCATTGAAGTCATGGGAAGTTTAGTTCTCTTTGAGTCTGAAAGCTAGTAGAAGTCAGTCTTTGGAAGTCTCTAAGTTGTTAGATGTATTTCAAAGTGTTTGTCAGTCTCTGGAAAATTTCAATTAGGTTATAGGATTAGGAAGTCAGTCTTAAGGAGCATCAGAGTTGGTGAATGACAAGAAAATTCTTGGTGTTTCTGAGAGTTTGGAAGATATTAGGAGACAATGGAAGTCAGTCTTTGAGGGTCTCAAAGTTGTTAGTTGTCTATGGAAGTCTCTGCTAGTCTCTAAATGTCTATGAGTTGAAAGGAATCAAGAGTCTCAAAGTTGTTGGTTGTCATGGTTGTCTATGGAAGTCTCTGGTAGTCTCAGAGAGGCCAAAAGTTGTTGAGGGTCTTTGAAAGTAATCAAAAGCAACAGAAGTAATTTTCTGTAATCTCGAAGTTTTTAGTTTTGGATTTCCATAGAAGTTTCTGAGTGTCTGAATGTTTTCAGGAAACAATGGAAGCCAGTTTTTGGGAGTCAAAAACTTGTTGTTTGGAGGATGTCAGTATTCTGAAGTCATCAACAGTCAGTATTCGGAAGTGTTCGACAGTCTTTGAAAGTCTAAAAGTAATTAGTCGCTCTCTGGAAGTCTGATAGTCGTTGGATGTCTATAGAAGTAGTTGATATTCTTTGAGAATTGAAAATTTCCTAAATCAATGGAAGTTACTGGAGACCTTTAAAGGTCTGAAAATCAATGGACATTTATGTACGTTTTTGAAGTCACTGGGAACCTCAGAAATCCTTGGATGTCAGTATCTAGAAGTCGCTGGATGTTGCCGAACGTTAGTGGCTGTCTATGGAAGTCTTCTTCTTCTTCTTCTTCGAAGCACTGGTGGGCGGGTGAACCCCCTGCACGTGGGCCTCCTTATTCGGGCCCATTGTGCGCCCACATGTTACAACATTCAGCTGGGTATGCCGACTGCCTTGGAGAAGTTCAGCAGCTTCCTCAGCTGAATCTCTTTTACGTCCTCTGGCCTCAAGATTATGTTGCCAAGGACAGCCTTCCTCTGATGCGTCAGTGCTGGACACTCAGTGAGGACATGTGATGACGTTTCGTCATCTTCCAGGCACCATCTGCAAAGGGGGTCATCCTTGATCCCAATAAGCTCTAGGTGCCTATTGAGGTGGTTGTGCCCCGTTAGGAGCCCCACTACCATTTTAAGGTTTCGCCTGTTTAGGAATAAAACCTCTTTTGCGAGCCTCTTCGAAGGTTCCTTTATGTGGAGCTTCGATTGTCTCATTCCTGGTGTGTCCTTCCATATTTTGAGGAATTGCTTTTGCAGCTGTTCCTCTATAGAGGACATTGCCAGGCTATTTGGTATTCCCAAGATTGGTTCCGGTCCGACCGGGGTCCGTCCAGAACCGATCTTTGCCAGTCTGTCTGCCTCCTCGTTTCCGGGTATTCCCGAATGTCCCGGAACCCACATGAGGCTGACTTTTCTTGATTTTGCCAGGTTTTCCAAGGCTTTTCTGCACTCGGACACCAAATTGGATGTGATCCTATTGGATTGCAAAGCCAGTATTGCAGCTTTGCTGTCCGAGCATATAGTGATTGGTCTATGACCTCTCATAATTAGGTTTTCTTGGACATGGAAGTCACTGTAAATATCAAGTAGTCTTCGAAAGTTTGAAACTGATGTTGGATGTAAGTCACTAGGAGCCTTTGGTAGTCATTGAAAGCTTAAGTTGTTAAATAATAATTGTGAAGGTTGTTTGAATGTTTAAAGAACTTTCGAGCCTTTGGAAGTCACTGGATGTGCTATATTTGAATATCTGAAAGTTGATGGATGTCAATAGAAGTCGCTCTTCGGAAGTCAGTATTTATAAGTCACTGAATGATAGAACGAAACGAACGAAAATACCTACTTTGCATCCCGCTGAGCCCGTAGTGAACTGGACGGGAGCCCCAGGATTAACATATGGCCGCTCATAACTACCATTATACACGACGTAATTATATATGGGCCATAGGCGTTCGTACGAATGCTCGTGCGCCCAGATCTCGAGGTCGACGCCGTAGTTGTAGAGGAGGTCTTCGAGGCCGAAGAAGTGCAAAAAGGGCAGGCCCACCCTGGTGAGGGTCTCGTGGTGAGTGCAGTCGTCGAGGTCGGTGTTTGAGCAGTACATGGGTCTGGAAGCGTAAAATGGGGATTACGGTTATTCATGTAGTGTACACTGTGTCCCATTTTGGTTGAGACAGCACTGTATCTCAGCTATTTTTGAAGATAGAGACATGCGGTTTTCGCGACCCTGTATCACTTTTTTGTGAAACTTTCAGAGACACAAACAGAAATATTCCAACTACTTTTGTTCCTGAAATACAGGTCGAAAACGGAAATGTTCACTTTTGTAGATGTTATAATTTCTCAGGCCCCGTATAAGATGGAAAAAAAATGAGAACTGCTTATAATAGATATTTTTACATAAAAGTCAGTGGCCATAATTCAAAAGATTGGATTTTAACCGGAATACCGTAGCCCGAGATGGCTGACGTCTTTCTGGAAACCTAATAAGATCGTATTCATTGTTTGAATTTTGTAACAAAATAAAATATGCCAATTCTTTACCTGTTTAAATATAACCGCATCGCTGCTTTGACATTTTCGTTAGAAAGGTTAAAACATTTTATAATATCATACTTTTCCAAATTTTGAAATTCCGTGTTTTCACCGTCATCATTGTTGATTTGTATTGACTCTGTAAACTCTGTTTGTGACAGTTTCCATGGATTCAATGAACAGAACATTTTTTTGCTTTTGCTTTTAAAAAAATCAGAATACGCCACTGACTTTTATGTTAAAACATCTATCATAAGCAGTTTTTTTTCCATCTTATACAGGGCGTGAGAAATAGTTCCAAAAGTGAACATTTCCGTTTTCGCCCTGTATTTCAGGAACGGAAGTAGTTGGAATATTTGTGTTTGTGGCTTTGAAAGTTTTACAAAAAAGTGATACAGGGTCGCGGAAACCACATGCCTCTATCTTCAATAATAGCTGAGATACAGTGCAGTCTCCACCAAAATGGGACACAGTGTACAGGGTGGTCCAAATTAGTCGCTTTCAAGGGAAAAAACATATTTTTTTGACTAGATATAGACGAAAACTGAATGATTTTCCTTCAAAAGTTTCCAATTTAGTGTGTCCCATTTTCGGAAGTCCTTAGAGGATAGCTTGCTTATTTTTAGAAATTTGTGATTTTCGCTAAGGTTGGCTTCTTTTTTGTGAATGTCACGATACCGCTAACAAAATGTTCATAGCTCACTTCGTTTTTGAGATACAGGGCGAAATTGGCTGGAAATTGGCTTAATTTCACAAACTCATTAACTATAATAGGTGAATTTTTTTGGGCATCAAAATTAAAAATTACCCTTTTTTCGAAGACGGTTTATTTTTTTCTAACCTTACCTTTTTTATGTAAAAGTGTTTGAAGAATCATATTCTGATAGTAGAAATGAGATGAATCTTGAAACAAAAAAACTTGGGGTATTTTTATAGCATCAGTTACAAGTTTCGCACCTCCTTGTATGTTGAATCATGTTTCCGTACCACGAAACGATTTGTAAGGTCAAGTCACCTCAAGGTACCAAATTTCGCGATTCTAAGATCAATGATAACAAAGATATTTTAAGAAAATTGCATTTGAGGATCTACCCTCAAAAGGACTCTAGGTATATTTTCTCTCATTTTTATCTTCAAAATCACCCTGGGAATCTGGGACACCCTCGGGGACACCCTTTATAATATAACCCAGTTATGTTTTTTAAAATAGCACACTGAATATTTTCTAATATTTGAAACATTGGTGCTTTTCAAAAATACAGCACATATACGATATTTATTTTGATTTAGTAGGTTCCTTATTATTGATGGCCCTTGTAAATATGTGGCAGAATTGTCCATATCACAAATTTTCATATTTACCTTGTTGAACTATTTATCGACTGTAAAAGCTGTGGACCTAATTATTAGTAGGTGGCTATGAGAAAAAAAGAGTGCAGTATGTTTTATAATCCTTGTCACCTACCTGTTGAATTTACAAATTTTTCATACAATGATGAATAATAAACCATGATATAAAAACTTCAAAAAATTAGATATTATGGTTTGAATTCAAGTTGGTTTCTGAATTTTAGGTTTGATATCTTGGATTATTATTCGCTGTTGTATGAAAAATTTGTAAATTCGACAGTTAGGTTATCCTTGTCACCATATAAAACTTTCTGCACTCCCTATTTTTTATGGTCACCTTCTAATTAGGTCCACAGCTTTTATAGTCAATAAAATAGCGCGGAATATTGGTAAATGTTGAATGTTGATAAAATTTGAACAAGTGTGATAAAACACTGTGTCAGCAAAAAGGGAATTTTTTTTATCTCTTGGAGCGCAGGAACTATGAAAATTTGTGATATGGAAAATGTTGCCACATATTTACAAGGCCCATCAATGATGAATCTACTACAAAACTAGAGACTATCCAAATAATACATGGCTAATCGTATAAGAATTATATATTTTTGAAAAGCGCAAAGCATCCATGTTTTAAATATGAAATAATATACAGGGTGTTCCATTAAAAAACAAAACTTTGAGTTAAATCCTTATAATAACAGCTTATTTTCAAAATCTGACTACGCCACTGGATTCTTCGACATAAAATGTGATAGAGACAGTGTTTACTTCTCCTATAAGTCGAACTATAGCTGAGATACAGGGGTATTCCAAATGCAACTTTTCAATTTCGCCCAGTATCTCAAAAACGAAGCTGATGTCCATGAACATTTTGTTTGTTATATTGTGAGTCTCACAAAGAAGTAGCCAATGTTCCTGAAAACCGCAAATCTCTACCTTCAGAAATAAGTGAATTATCTCCTAAGGAAATCAGAAATGGGACAGCCTGTACAAACTGGACATTCACCTGTGTCCCATGACGATGATCCAGGGTTGTTTTTCTCGATTTTCGGGTAAGTTGGCGGTTATCAGATCGTTTTCCAGCCACTCGTATTGGAATACGAGAGGTTTGATGCCGTAGTTGAGGAAATAGTAAAGTTCCGTGGATATCGAGATGACGTGCAAGGGGCCTATGTTGATGCTGTACATATAAGATTCCGTGCCGCCTGGCATGCTGAATCTTTCGCGGTAATTGCTGAAGTTGCTGAAAAGAAGTATGCCCTTGAAGGTATTTATGGTGATGCTAGACATGAGGGGGTCCGAAAGAAATCCTTGAGGTACTCCTGTACTTACTAGGATTCCTCGTGATTGCCTGGGCAAGTCATATACGGGACGTAAGCTGCAATTGATTCGATTTGTCTCATGAAAGCATCTCCCACTTCTGCATTGTTCTGGAAATGTTGAAATATATTGCTCTCGATATTGCTGGTTTTCATCCAGATATATAGGAAATGGGTGGTTATCACCAAGTTTTGCCTAGATGTCTAGATCATTATGATATTTGGTTTTCTATAGGCTTTTCTTTCATCAGTGAAATCCATATAATTTGAAAAATGAAATTGTTATTATATTTTTTTTATTTATTTCAGCGGTACACCAATTCAACAGCCGAGGCCTATTACAGAATGGGTAAATAACAAGTTTTTTTCAAAATCTGTATGGAAATTGTATCAAAAAACAAAACAGAAAAGGAAATATGCATAGAAAAATAAAATAAATAACACACTGCCTAACTATGTGTATTCGAGATAGAAAATAAGCGTACGCCACCTATCGGAGTTCGCGAAAGCAGTCAAAGCGGCCTGTTTACTTTGTTTTCATTGGTTCACATTTGTTTTTTGTTTCTTCTTATTGGTCACATCATCAAAACAAACCGTTCAGAAGTGTTCAAGCTGTTGCCGTGAGGTGGAGCGACGTGATATTTTCTATCGCGAATGAACTGAAAAAAACTACGGTGAGAAAAAAGTTCATACACAGCGCTACAAACAGTGTTAAAAAAACAACAATAAAAAAATACATATCATGATAGAGTAACCCTTTTGATGTCTATTGGTTTGCAGTAAAAAATATCTATTCTATTATGAATTGACAAGTAATGACATATTTTATACAGAGGCGAGAAAAGAAGAACATTTGCTTGGGCAACTGGCAGGTAAAACGTGGTGAAACCACGTACAGGTAGCCTAGGAACGTGCAAATTTATACGTGCAAGCAGGTATGGGCAGTCAATACACGAGAATAAGATCTTGTATTAAAAAAATTCCCAAATATGTACTTGTCTATAGGGAATCGACTTGAAATCATGCGGTACACCTCGCGAAGGATAGAAGCCATCACATCTGATACTGATGTACTTCTGAAATCGCCTCTGAATAGTCTCTAAACTATCACTATACAGGGTGTTACATAATTCAATACAAATATTTGAATGACATATTCCTGGGGTCCGAATAAGACTTTTTTTTCCCATAAACATGTGTCCTAAAATCCACCCCCTCCAAGCTACAGACATCGCAAGATGCGCAAAAAAAATCTCAAATTTTGAATTGTGGCTACAATTATGCATCAAATATTTTGAAAATTCACAGGAACTTGTATTTTTAGAAGATCTATTCATTTCTTGATTCAAAAATAAGGTAACTCGAATCGAAAGGGGTGAATGAGGGTTGCATACAGATTTGATGGCAAACATTTTCTATTTCCTCCAAAAAAATTTGAATTCAAACATCATCGTTGAATTGGCCACTAAAAAATCATACATTTCAGTCTCTTGCATTTTCTTGAATTAGCTAACCGTTTTAGAGAAAATCGCTACTAAATGAAAGGGGTGTATTTTCAAATTATGTACTAAAAAAACTTAGTGAGCTATGATTATGTTTGTCTCTGGTAACTAATGATTAATTAATATCTTTTATGCCAAACTGACATTAATGTTATGACATACCACAATTGTGGTATGTCATAACCGTCATGTCACAATCGATTCACTTTCCTCAACTTACCATTACACGCGATGTATGTAGCTTGGAGGGGGTGGATTTTAGGACACATGTTTATAGGAAAAAAGAGTCTTATTTTGACCCCAGGAATGTCATTAAAATATTTATATTGAATTATGTAACACCCTGTATATGATGTATCCAGGATTCCAAACAACGCAGCCATATTGAAACTTTGACCTCACAAGCGCCTCAAAAAGGAGTTAATACCAGACAACCATTCGGAGTTTCTGATAATGAAACCCAGTGTTTTAAAACCACTCATGACAACAGTATTCACGTTGTGAGAAATTGTTGAATCTCCTCAAGTTAATTATGAACATAAAAAAATTGGAACATGAATTTATCATTCTTTACCGGGTTATTCACGTTGACATGAAGCATCGTGGCTAAGTAAGTTTTTTCTGTGGTATGGATGGGGACCTATTTTCATGTTATTTCAAAATGTAGCCCTGATGTCCCTATATCCATCCTAAAGAAAAAACCTCGGAAAAAACGTTGAATAATTAAATTCTTCCTTAGTCAGAATATTCAACAGAGACCAACTAATTTCCTGGCTATTTTATTTGCGCCTCGCCAAATATTGAATAACATCTGGTAAATACCTAAGATGAGGATATGAAAATAAAAATCTTCTGAATTTGAGAATTTTTATTATCTTTCAGATCGGATAAATAACGTGATGTAAAATGATATAAAAATATTAACAAGGTGTTCCATAAGTCATGGATCAAAATAAGTGGGGTGGAAGGGGGGGTAATTTTCAATCAAACTAACCGTATATGTGGCTATCTAATTGTTGATGGTTCAAAAGTTATTAATCTTTCATTTGTATAAAAAAATAATTACAATAAAACTATGTTACATTTGTGATTTTTCCTTTTACAAATTCCATCCACATGGATGAACCTTTCCCCATAAATAATTTTATGACATGTATTACTTCTTATCAATCACCAGAGAAAAATGTTGTTTTCTTGAAGTTTTGTCATTGAACAAAATATTTAAGTTGATTTCAATATGCAACTGGCAGATATGAAAACTACCCCAAAAAGATAACCAATCATGAGAAAAAGTTGCCCATTCAATACAGATTTTGAAATGATATAACATAGGGGGATATTCATAACAACCTTTTTGTTATTATTTTTTTTCAAATGGGTAGCATTTTTCAGAAAATTTTAATAACTTTTAAACCATCAAGAATTTGATAACCACATATACTCTATTCCTCGGTTTTCATCGTTCCATGTCAAAGCCACATCAAAACTGGGGAAAAACAAACTCAATCCTCACTCAATCCCATTAGTGCCATTAGCTTGTGTACTGTGTACTGATAAGAGTGATAAGTTTTTAAATTTCTTGAAATTAGTTGTCAATAATCGATCGAAAACGCTAATAATGCCTGTTGTAGATGTTGTTTTGGCAGATATTTTGCTCTATTTAGATGGAAAAACCCGACCAGTAGTGGAAGGAGAAGCAGTTCTCTTGGGGTCTAGAGGAACTCTTGTAGAACAATGGATTTGTATTTGTTCATGCAAAGCAGGACAATCTGGGTATTGTAAACATGTTGTAGCTGTTCTTTTATGCCATAATTAGTTTGAATTGTTTGAACTATCTCCAATTCTTCACCCGTCACTGTTCTTTAAACTAATAAAAATGTGATAATGTAAAAAAATTAACCAACTCAACCATCATCACTACCAACAGTGCCAACACTTTATGTCATTGACAAGTTTGACTACAGCTACAGCAAGCTGAATGCAATGTAGTCTATGCACTTCATCCATAGACAACAGTTTGTTTTCCCCCAGTTTGAAGTTCGTATTATGTAACCTAGATGTCGCCCACTTCGTGAATCTGGCGAATATATATCTGGGAATATTCCTCTTCAAAACCTTCATGCCCAATGGAAGGGTTCAAACTTGAATGATGGAAATTTGTTTTTACAGACCTCTAACCACAGATTTGTGATTGGGTTTTTCTCAATTCAGATTTTTTCCACACCCTGTATGTGAATGAACATCAATATTTCATCATACAACTGACAAACTAATATTGTATGTTTGTTTTTTATTCATTTAATCAAATTAATCAAATAAGCCTGCCTATTGAGACAATGTTTGCATTATGATAATTGATAAATATCTTTCTAACTCTCAGCTACTAATTTTCAATGAAATTAAATTGATCTGAATCTGAATGTAAAATATGCCTATCTATACTGACCCATTTTGGAATATGCAAACAAGGATTTCAGACAGATAATATAAGATGATTGAACATCCACTTGAAATAATATAGATATCAGCACACATTACACATTATCAATAAAATCATACATATTCTCCTAATCAGTAAATAATAAGCATCAGTAATCCCAGCAGACACATAACATCACATGGCAGTTTTGCAAAGTCCCAGGTTGAAAATTGAAATATGTTTTCATTTTTATAATGCATATTTGTTCTGATGGAGGTTACTTTGAGACTTTGCTTTATTAACAGAAAATTTAAGATGCAGTGATAATTATTTCAAGATAATAATGAATAAACACAATGTCATTACCACAAAATGTGTTAAATTTCTAGTTGAAGATCATCATAATAACCAGCTTCCCACTGAAATTAAAAGTCTAATAACTTGTTTAAAATTTAACTGAGGAAATACCATTAATTCATGTACATTACTTATGTGAGAAAATGCTTTGCCCTCAAATGTTAAATGTTTTGCTAACTCTAGTGTTGTCCACAGTGTATAGTATGTATATTATGTATTATGTTTATGACAAGTTCTACCACTACCATTACCATATTACCATTTGACTGAGTAATTGTAAATTTGTATATTTTCCTACCAAGTAGAGAAGCCTATGTGAAATCTTTGTATTCTTTTGGCTAAAAAATTAAATATTCTCTCTAAAACAATCATCCAGAAACATTGCCAGGAAGTCACCAAGGAATACAATGGAGAAGTCTCAGAGAATCTTCACATGAATTTATTGTCTCAAAAACTTCCACAATGACTATAGAGATGTATTTTTCCAAATCTCCATTAATGAAATGCTTACTTGATGTTGCCTACATTTGGATGCAAAAAGGATAGTGGATTTTAGTTGCAAAAGTACTTCCATAGTATTTTACAGTTACTGCCCAGTGCTTGCTGGGATGAAATTTTGAAAATAATATTAGATATAAGTACCTACTGGATTATTCATTCAAAGAGCAATAATTCTTGTATGTTTTCAGGCTCACAGAATCTTGATATCATCAATGAAGTGATGTAAAAAAGTAATCAACAATAAAGGTCTGAACTTTTGAAAAAATTTTTCAGTAGATTAATATGTTGACTAGTAAATTGATACTTACAGAATCCATATCATAGGCAAAATCTCCAACATGCAAAATAGCATCATACATCCCCCTTTGTGTCTCCTCCTGTAATCTAACAAGAGACTGAGCATTTTCATTGCCCATGTCCCCATAGATAGCTAAATGTGGCTGCCAGTCAGCTCTGTCAGGTGCTGTTTTGAAATAAAATAAATTCGACCAGCCTTGGTCACTACCACAATGATACACTACAAAAATTAATACAAACTTGTTATCTTGTTAAGCTTCCAAACATAACAATGACAATAATCTACTCTTTGATTGAGCTTACCATATCTGCTATCTGGTGTTAGATTCTTCAGTGTAACCCTGTGTATGTACTGAGAATGTTTGGCAGCACCCCCATCCACAAACAGCTTAGAAGTACCCTCTTCCCTCAGAATCAACCCCCCAATTCCATATTCAACAGAAGATTTTTCTGTGCCATTGAATGTGGACCAGGTAACCACTATTTCATAAATATTATCACCGTACGCTATGTGAATTTGTTCTGGCTGATAATACAGTATATCAGCATTGATGAAGTTGATACAGATGGAGAAAAGTGCAAGTAACAGGAACATTTTCGGTTGTACTGAATTAAATTGATGGTAAACAAGCAATAAATAACTAGGCGATTACCTATCTAAGAGATAACGCTGGAATCTGTGTTTTACGTTCCATTTATTATGAATAATTCAGCAGTGATTAATAACATTAGATACTATTTGTTGAGTTCATGTTATTGTTTATGTTTATATGGTTGACATTTCTGATTTTTTTAATAACATTTTGACACGAGTCAAGGACAGGACATGAAACTAATCTTCTTCTGAGAACTAAGAAGGAGAATGCAAGGAGTTTCATGCCTTCATGGCCATTAGCATAACATGCCGTAATCCTCTTGGTTTTTGCCTCTGAGGCTCCAAAGATACAAGGCTATTTAACTATAGAAGTTAATAGACCTTGCGAAAGATAGATCTGTAGGGGGCGCTGAATATTGACACAAGACATAATGGCTATATTCCGAATTCAACTGACAGTACTGAATCTGCTGATTTTCCATTCCGAAATCAAAAAATTCACTGAAAGTGACAGATGCTTGTCAGCAGACATACTATTCATTCCAAATATTTCGACTCAGACTCAACATTCTGCTGGAATTGCTGAGTATCAAAAGGTAGTGTGGCTTCAGTGAACTGTCATATTTTGTAGGACGAAGGAATGTAACATCAATTTCCGTTGTTAATGAAATGATTCTCAATATCAGAAAATGCCTGGAGTATGAAGTAGTAGAGCAGGTAAGGAAAGGAGCAGCATTGGCTAAATAAACTTAAATAATCCTGGAATGTCTCCTAAAATTCATCATTATTAAGGCATATTGCGATTTTCATGAATCTCAATTCTCAATCTGGTGCATCATGAGAAATTTATGGCAACAAAATGTCCAAGTATTCGAGCTTGAATCGCCATCGTCAACAATCGTAGAAACTATAGAGGATACAAGAATCGATTTCTCTTCCATGTTAAATATTAAATTTCCAAAATTTATAACAAGTAGGAGGCTAAATATCTAGTTCAGATAAACGAGAAACAACTACTGATGAAAACCATGAAAACGTGTCCCGAATTACAGTAGTGAATTTTTGATTTTATATTTCGGAACATAGATTTTCAGCAGAGTCAGTGGATCAACTGACAGTACTGACCAGTTGAATTCGGCGGAATATAGCCACAATAAAAATTCAAAATGGCCCATGAAGCGGCAAAATTTGTATCCCAGATTTGTGAAATGTGATCACATTGTTGAATATTGTTAAAGAAAAAATCACTATTGTTCTGAAATCATTGCTATATCCTGTTGTATATGTGACTGACAGATTTCCATTGGATATTTTGTGAAGATACATGCAAGGTTGGATACATGTATGTATTTTGAGATATCATCTTCACAAGTTTTTCAAGTAGTCTTCAACTATCATTGTATCATTGAACATGTCCCCATCTTATAAATGAACATGACCATTTTTTCGAAATACTTCATCCTTAAAACATAAATTACATATCACCAGTAACAAAAATGGTCCCCAATAGTGGGTGAGCTGGTCTCGGGATCATAGATCAGAAAATAGACGTTTACATGTGTAATTTGAATTTGTAATACAATATTAATCAACGTTCATGATAAATACTATTTTTACCTGTCCTGTACCTATTGATTTTATAGTGATTCAAATATTATAACTCTGGTGCTTTCATACAATAAAGTTGAAATCTTGTAGGTAAATTACATCTCCATTTTTCTGGTGAACTGAACTAACTGATTATAAAAGAATACAATATAGAATCATATAACTGATTTATTATTCAGGATATATTCCACTTTTGAGGAAAAAGATTTGACTTCATAACAAATACATAAATATATAGGTGCTTAAGAAAAGTATATGGTACCAAAATAAAAATATTTCATAGTGCAGTCTTCTTTTGACTAGAAGCAATTTGAATGAATCCAATTAAAACACAGAGAAAGATTGTCCAAATTCAGTTTCAATGTGTTTTTCATCACGAATCTTTGTTTGAAGTAGTACACACTCCAGAATTCCTATTCTGACATCCATATCAATTATCTCAGCTTTAACTTTTGCTACGGATTTCTTGATATTAACCAAGGGAGCTGAAATCAGGAATATTAATAATACACTGTAACTTACATTTCAATGTTAAAATTGAGATATTGGAGGCTCTTACTTCCATCTGTCATGGAGCTTCCCCTCTCTTCCATTTGCTGTTTCACAGTTTCCAGTCTGTCAGTCAATTTATACAGCTCTCTATTTCTCTCTGCCACCCCACTGCTGACATTTTTATAGTTGTCTTTCAGCTTAGAAAGCTGATCCTGCTGAGTGCGGTATTCTTCCAAAACAGACTCTAATTCCCTGACAACAGAATATTCACTTTCTCATAACTGGACATTCAAATTTCATACATCAAAAGAGTTATGAAATGTTTGAGGAGTATACCTGTTGAAATATTTTTCTCTGTTGCCTACTTTCTGTAAGGTAGAGCTTATTTCTTTGTGGAGCTTCTCAAGTTGACTTTTTGTAGGGGTCAAACACTCTTCTATACTGGACTGGAATGTCTTCATTTGGTCCAAATGTGATCTCCAATCTCTACTGTCATTTTTCACTGTCACCTTCATTATAAAATAATATGTAGGTGGTTGTTGAATAAGTTATAAATTGAACAGATTTGTAAATTTGAGTATCTAAATAATTTTAAACAAAGGCCAATCTAAAAAAGTGAACTAAAATGAACAGATCATTTTTAAATCCATTTAAATCTCTTGTACCTACTACATGCCATATATTACTGATGAACTAATTTTCAATCATGTCCAATTATAAAAAATCTGTGATTCTCAGTAACTTATTATTATGAACTGATACAAACAAAATTGAGGAAATGTTTAAAGGCAAATGACATATATTATAGGTATTAATAGCTGATCCTAATGGCAAAAAGATAAGAGAAAAAAATTATAATCATTAAAACCTAGTCATATTCTGAAATTATTGAAATACACTCATTCAAATGATTACTCAAATATCAGCTACAATATAATGAATACCTACCTATTAGAAGAATTGGATATAAAAATAATTATTACATTTTTACTTAGGGCATATTTTGGAGAATTTTCAATTTATGTTTACTAACTTTCAACATGGGCAGGACTCTTTCTACTTCTAATTTCCAGGTTTCATCATCTACATCTGATTTGAGTTCATTCACTGAGATTTCTTTTCTGACATGTTTGAGGTCATCAATGTGGAAAATGTTTTCCTCATCAGAGTCATCTGAGTATGCTGCTATCATTTCCTCCTCCACTCTATCCAGATTTATTTCTGATTCATCATCCAGAATTTCTGTTTCTTCTTCTTTCTCTTCAGGAGGCTTTGGCCTGAAAAATAAATAAATTATTCAGACAGTTGTGAATATTTCAGGATATACTCACTTTTTCAGCATTATATTATTTTTTTTGATAGCACTATTTGCAAGATTTTCCAAAATAGCAACAACTTGCTCCCCAACCCCTTGTTTCAGTTTATTTGGTGGAAAATCAACATTCATACCCTGAAAAAAGTGAATTTTTGATAACTTGTGAATTGGATCAGCATACATTGAACTAACATTTAGTTTAACTTCAGCCAGTATTTTCTGTATTGTTTCATTAGGATCATCAAATTCCTGAGGTTGTGGAAAGTCATTTCCACATTTTCTTATTAGCCAGGCTGCAAGCAGTGAAAAAAGGTAAAATTGTTCCCCTGGGTTTTTGGTCACGACGAAATAGTATCTGAAATAGATGATTTTTATCACTAGAGTTTACAGTTTTATTTAAATTTGTACTTGTGTATTGGCTTCATTTTAAGGCTGCTTAGGAATTCAGACTCATAATTCAGTACTTTCAGCTTGTCCAACAAGTCTTCCATTTGAGCAAAAGAGGAAAAGGAGAACTCTTGCTCCTTTTCCGAAATAATTTTCTGTTCTTCTCGCATCATTTTATACAAATATTAATTATTAACTATTGTTTTGATTGTTATTGTTGCTCTGCAATGTTTGAATCACGATGTTTGTAGTTGACACTGTTGACAGGATACAGGACTGAGTGTCAGTTTGTCAAATATTATTTGCCGGATAGCCTTCGCCCATTATCTTGGCCATCGCAAAAAAATTGGAAGAAGAACTCAATAGTTGAACCCCACAATAGCTATGGCCATATTAATAATTCATAATTCTTCTTTTTTTTCTTCATCTTTCGTTTTGTGGATTTGTGTTCCCAAGGTTTGTGTTCCAATCACGTTCCATCTCAGACGAATCGTTCCATCCATTTCACTGTTGATGTCCCATGTCACATAAAAAAAACATCAATGTTTTGTAGGGACGAGTTGTTTGTCGGGAACATTTCTGAATTAAATTGAATGGAAATCAGTCCAAAAATGTGAACTAATATTTTAATGTGGTATGATGCGTTGTGCCAAAACATTCATTATCGTTTTGTTTCTTTTTGTTTGCGGGTGTTACATTGTTTCTTTGTTGTCGAGGTTTTGGGAGGAGTTCTCTATAACTTCAGGTAATGAAGTTGAGGAGTGGTTGAAAGAGAACCAGTTGAGGCAATACAGAGATTTATTTCGACAACAAGGTGAGCCAATTATATTTAGTCGATGAAATTGTATGATGATGATGTAGACACCTAACCTGTAACCTTGCCTGTAACTAAACTTTCATTGTACTTTAGATACTGTAGATGAAACTAACAATTTGAAATTGACAATCAACAATTAATAATTATGTGGGTGTTCATACATATCTGATATTCAAGAAATGGTACATATATAATTTTTTTTTTATTAAAGATCAAAATGATGTTGAAAAGTGTTCTAGGTCTTCACAATCCATGAATCCATATAACATATTCCAATGGAATATAACCAAACACTTTGTTATGATTTAGTAGTATAGTAGTATATGGATTCAACATAATTCGCTTTCACTTTTATGTTCATCATACATTATAACCTCGATTATACCTCAATAATAAAAATTAAATAAAACAACAAATTTCTGCATAACTCCTAAAATATACTATCGTTATTAGTGGTACACCAGAGGCTGAACATCTCAAATATTTTTTTATGAAACTTCCTGCAATTATCGAGTACGTCCCTGTCCCGTTTAGGAATTTCGGTGTGCGTGCCAGGTGCGGTCGACAACACCTTTTCCGCAATCCCTCGGTTCGTTTTTCGACAACACCGATGCATGCGCAATCCAGCGTCGCGACGCCCGGGCGCCGGACAAAGCGAAACCCGCCGTCGTCTCAGTTAACGTCGAAACCCCGTCCCAGATCGCGCTATGTCACTGAACGATCTCCTGCTTACCCACGCGATTTTTCGAGCCGCGCGATCGACAGGTTACTTCTGATTGCAAAATCCCACTTGTGATTTCGAAATCCCACTTCTGATTTCAAAATCCCACTTCTGATTTCCAAAATTTAACTTCTGAATTCGAAAATCCCACTTCTGATTTTGAATATCCCTACTTCTGGTGGCTAAATTCCACTTCTAATGGCTAAATTCCAGGTGCGGTTCTAAGATCCTAAGTCCGATTTCAAAAATCTCACTGCTCATTTATAAAATCTCACTTATTCCTAAGATCCCTCTTCTGATAGGGAAATTCCACTTCTGATTTCTAAATCACACTTCGGATTTCCAAAATTCAACTTCTGAATTCAAAAATCCCACTTCTGATTCAAAAGATCCCACTTCTGGTGGAAAAATTCCACTTCTGATGGCTAAATTCCACTTCTGATGGCTAAATTCCACTTCTGATTTCAAAAATTCCACTTCTGATTGCGAAATGACACTTTGAATTCCAATATCCCACTTCTGATTTCTAAAATCCTACTTCTGATTCAAAAAATCCCACTTCTCATTTATAAAATCTCACTTATTCCTAAGATCCCTCTTCTGATAGGGATATTCCACTTCTGATTTCTAGAATCCCACTTCTGATTCCTAATATACCACTTCTGATTACCACGATCCCACTTCTGATAGCGAAAGTACAGTTTTGATTTCGAAAATCCCACTTCTGATTTCTCAATCCCACTTCTGATACTGAATGCACTGTTTCAAAGATCGTATCGTAGTGGATTAGAATGTTGGCAACAGTTTTTTGATGTCGTCGCCTTTGTTTTGTCAATGATAACAAAATGTGGGGGGAAGAGAACGAGATTTGTTCAATTGGCATGACCATGCAGCCGTCCGCTAGTGCCTCTTCGGGTAAGAACTTTTATACTGGAATCTGAAATTAATGAGCCCACTTTTCTTCTTTCCACGTCAGAAAGCACTCCTGAATCTAATTTTTTATCAAGTCATTAACAAAAGAAAAACTCTGCAAGCTGTCCGATTTCCTAAATATCAAAAAAACGTTTAATTGTTTGGAAAGAAAAATATATAATTTGGTCGGGTGCCTATAGTTTGTTTCAACGTCTAGCGAAGCATATTTTCTGGCTTCGTTGAATACCGATTTTTTTCCGTTATTTTTTTTTTCGTCTTCCCGAGGCACAAATCACTCCAGAGCTTCGCCGTTTCATAGCCAAACGAGTTTTTGTAGAGAGTTGTTCGATCTGCTAACTAAGCTCGTCTAATTCGTCTGACTGGTATTTCAAGTGCTGATTTCTAAAGAAAATTTTCCGTAGAAATATTCATAAAAAGTGACAGGTCGCTGACTTTTCTGCGGTGTTCCAACGATGTCAAGAAATTAGTGTGGTAACAGCAACTAGGCGAATGGTTTGTCTTTGGATGGAATTTAAGTGCATCAGCGTCGTTTAGATTAGTGTGAAACTACTCCTGGCTGACCATGAAATTACTAATGCCTCCAAAATATGTAACGGTTTTTTTGGAATTACGAAAAAAAATCGTAACTTTTTCAAAATACACGTGGTAATGGGTCACCCCAATACCGTTGACATCTTGAAGTCAATCCCTATTCGGCAATTCTCGAAAAAATCTAAAAGTATTGAAGTAACTATCTTTTTTTTTGGGTTAACTAACATAAAAATTGTTTCAAATAATCTATGTGTAATTGAAACCAAGACAGGTTTAGGAATAATTCACTAGTGTATATATTATCAAGTAGGTGAAGTAGGTATTCCCTCGGGTATTCCACTATAATAATATCTATTTTCTCAATCATCTCAAAACATTTCCACATGTAGAATACATACATTAGGAGATCAATTTAGATTTTAGAACATTCTGATATCGACCAAATCTATGTATGCTTAATTTTTAGATACAAAATAATTTTATTATTTGATGTGGTTCTTTGAAAGTACATTCATGTATACATGATAGCCCATATAGAAGTTATCGATGTAAACTTCGTTCTCTCAAATAGAAACACCTATATATTATCTATATCATATAAAAAAACTCCCACGTGTTTTTTGAAAAAGTTATGACTTTTTTTTCGAAATTCCAATAAAGGGGGCCTATGTGGTTAATTCTTGCCCGACAAAATATTGTGAGATATACACATCATCAAGTACCATTGGAGGAACACATTTATAGAATAAAACTCTAATCCACGTGTATTTTGAAAAATTTATAAGATTTTTTCGAAATTCCAAAAAAAAGAGTCTTGTGGGGTTAATTCTTGCCCTACAAAATATTGTGAGATATACATATGATCAAGTACCATTAGAGGAACACATTGTAAAATTGTTCTAAAATTGTTCTTATCCATCATTCGGTTGCCCCCTTACGAGCAACCCTCAGTAATTCAAGAGACTTGTGCGAGCAGGGAATGACGGGGGTCTTACCCTGTCTCACCTTTTAACGTGTGATCCCAAACACTTTCTTAGGCCATCAGAAAATTTTCTGCGGTCGTGGGGTCGTGGTGGGACTCGAACCCACTACCGGTAATCCAACGTGGATAGAACACTGACGCTCTAACCACGAGGCTACGCTGGCCCATTGTGTGTGTGTTTTGAAAAAAATATATTCTTTTTTTCAAAATTCCAAAAAAGGAGGCCTGTGTAATAATAATAAATAATTAGTAATTTCATGGCCAGCCATGAGTATAAATCTCGGTATAAATTAATAAATTGGTGGTATGTCGCGCGCCTAGAATAATTGGCGAAGTCTTGGCTCGTTCTCTTCTCCACAATAATATCTTTCTGGCTGATGATGGATGGATACCTTTTGGGTCCGAAAGATGTCCCCCCCTTCTTGAATTTGGAATTAGACGTTGTGGAGACGACTTGGAGAGTTTCACGAAAGGAATGAATCCCTTCCCACCTCGGTGTGTAATATACTAATATTCATAATGGTAAAGTTTTCAAAATGAAACAGCAATCCATATTTTTGTGTTTTTTCAATCATTGAAACCATACAAGAAAATATGTTTCTTGCTGGAAACTTTCCTACCGTTGTTGCCCATTTGTCTCGCAATTTATGAAAATAAAAATACTTTATACCTATTGCACGAAATTTTGAATGGGTGCACACCAGATCAGACCGGCAAAAACATTTTTTTCACAAATAATTCATTTCAATCTCATTCGGTCCAGCAACGCTCTGCTTCACCCGAGTTTTCAGCAGCCAATTTGTATTCAACGTGCGCCTTGAATTTTTCATAAAAGACTCGGTACGTGTACCAACGTTTATAGTAAAAATGCCTACGTCACAAGCTTGTTGATTTTGTAGGTCGATCTATATTCAAGTCGTTCACTTTATTATTTACATCGTGCTGGACTTGGTAGTCTACATGAAATAGGTACATATTTACGTAACCAGTTAGGAAACGCGTCATTTTGTATAACGATGGAATTTTGCGGGAGGAGCAAAGCGGGATCCCGCAATACACAACAGTACATTGTGCAACAAGTGGGGAAAGTTCAAATTTTCTCACGAGTGTGAAAGGTTGTGGCACGAGCCTGAAGGGCGAGTGATGCAAACACACGAGCGAGAATACTATATTGTGCAACATGTGGGGAAAAGTACTTTTCCCCACATGTTGCACACTATACTTTTTCTACAACTGCACTTATCCAAAGAATCCAAGTAATGTAACTTATTGGTGTTCATTTTATAATGTGGCACTATGCCAGATTGAATATTGTGACCAAAGAGTAGACGCCTTTCCTAGTAAGTATTTAAAAAAAGTACACTTTCCGAAAAAGATTCTATTTATGTATTTTTTGTAGATTCCATAAATTTTTCGTTTATGCCAATTCATACTTTTTTCTTGAAATTTTCGGAAACGAATTCAACTTTCGCAGATCCTTATTCCATTATCTCTGTCTCTGGCGATATATTTATCAAAATCGTCACATCTCGGCATACATCATATCATTTATTATGAATTGTTGGAATAATATTTGATGGAAACTGCGATTTCTATCAAAGGCACTAATGAGAACTAGAGTCCCTGTATATACCTTAGACAAGAGTCCGGACACAAAACTGACAGCCGTTGGGGTTTTTAATATTTTGTTTCATTTGGTTTGCCCACCTGACAATGTGACGAAACACCATAGTCGTCCCGCCCGCTTTTTTTAATTATTTAGAATCTCTGTCACTGTCACTGAAATTTCATGCTAAAATGAACAGTTATCGAGATATTTGATCGAAAATA